GGTGCTTCCATATATTTTTGATGAGAAAAATCAAGATTTATAAAATTGTTTCAGCGGATATGATGTTCCGGATTTTTAATGTGTGATTATTTCAGCTGCACATCAGTTCAGATCTGTAGATAATCGAAAAATAAGACCACTCTTGATGGAAATTTTCAAGTTGTGCAAAAAGTTTGAGCTTTAAAAATCGTCATTATGATGTAAACAAATGGTTTGGGTGACATTTCCTCTCAAAATCGACTAGCGCACTCTACATTGATGGTGCATCAAAAGAGCCTATTGCTGGCGATAAATTTGTTAATAATAATAGATTCGAAAAAGTACCGTGATGACTCGAAATCAGGACACTTTTAAAGTTGGTAGCTACTTAGTGGAAGATGCTAATTTCAAATAACATACTAGAGTGGTAATTTTTATACGATAGATGAGAAGATGAAAGTATAGAGTTGATAGTTCCGTTAGAGTACGGCAGTGTGAAATTGTTTATATAGATAGTAGAAAGCGAGCAAGAACAACTTTTATGAATGAAGGTACAAATCGGTTTTATCATCTCTCTTTACCAAACTCCCCCGTAGGAGAGGAATGGTGAGGGGTATTCCGCCCGCCACCACTGGCAAAAAGAGATGATCACCGACACGCTCATGTACCGACGATGTGTTTGAAACAGTTCTACTGATTTTTACCGCACTCAAGTTGTTATCTGAAGGAAGGCATCCAGTCGTAATTACTGCCTAATATGCTCACACGTGCTATAACATTTATCATGGTCAATGTTCTTGATATCATTCAGAATCATCGTACATATTTACTATCTTGCAAAATACGCGTAATATTTATTAAAAAATGAAATATATTCGGTTATAACCATTATTCCTATATAATATTTGATGTATTAGACTTTTTACAAAGTATATACACAAGGGTGGTTTAAAATATCAATTTTGATCCACGCCACTCACATTCTTTCAAAATTTAAGCTCATTTGGGGGGCGATCTCATACTACACTGCACAGTGGTCCAGAATGCAGATTTAGGTGGAATGATATGTTTTGAGCCTGAAATTGAAACTTCAGACTAAAAGTCTCTTCTACAAAGTTGTTCCTTATAGTTATGCCCTCATTTTTATGACAATGAATTCTAGGGTGGTTCCTATTATCATTAAAATCAAAAATCTAACTTTTTTGTTAGAATAAATTAAGGTATACAATATTCAGCAAAGTTATACCTGAGCTAATTTCAAGCAACTTTGTTGAAAACAACTTTTTTGTATCTCTTAAATTGGCCGATTTAGAGCTATTTTCTTGAATTGAGTTAGGGTGACTCTAAAAACAACAGTTTTTTTGCTCTATTTTTCTTATTTCGAATTTCTCAGCAAAGGTGTCTTCAGATAACTTTTAGATCTTAAGAAGGCGCAAATTTTTGCTGCACAAAGCTTGTCAATATCTTTCGCCGATCAAGAGTTATTGACGTTTTTATACTAAAGATATGCACTTTTCAAATGTTAATATCTCTGGTTGGGGCAAACAAAAAAAAGCTTTTTTGCAGCATTTGAAAGGGCGTATGTTATTCTCAATAATTTGAAAAAATTGGAGGTATGTTATTTTTTAAACTCGTATAAAATCAATTTGAATTTATTCATATTTTTTACTATATTTGAGTATATCTTTTTTATTAGAAGAGATACAGGCAACAAATTCAGCTATAAAACATTCGTCTTAAAGAGTTTTAAAAGTCTCTAGAAGATGACTTTCATGATAAATTTCAAATAAAAAAGTTATTGGCAAAAGATGGATTTCATAGGACCACTCTAATGACAAATTTATATAAAATGTGCTAGTACATTTGTTTCAATATTTGGACATTTAGTGTCTTCGAGGAAGTTTTTGTTCTTAAAAATTCCCTTCTTTTGGTGTTTGCAAACGTCAGGGTGGTTCTCAAATTAGGGAATTTTTAAAACTAACTTTTTTGTTCTACAAAATATAAACATGTGTTGTTGAACAAAGTTGTAGATAAGTTACTTGCAAGCAACTTTGTTGAAGAAAATTTTTTTCTATCTCTTAACGTTCTCATTTTAGAGTAATTTTTCGGAGTTGACTTAGGGTGTTCCTGGAAAAAATAGTTTTTTAGCAATAACTTTTTTTATTTGAAAATTCTCATGAATGTTATTTTCTAGAGACTTTTAAAACTCTTTAAGACGAATGTTTTATAGCCGAATTTGTTGCCTGTATCTCTTCTAATAAAAAAGATATACTCAAATATAGTAAAAAATATGAATAAATTCAAATTGATTTTATACGAGTTTAGAAAATAACATACCTCCAATTTTTTCATATTATTGAGAATAACATATGCCCTTTTAAATGCTGCAAAAAAAATTTTTTTTTGTTTGCCCCAAACAGAGATATTAACATTTGAAAAGTGTATATTTTTAGTATACAAACGTCAATAACTCTTGATCGGCGAAAGATATTGACAAGCTTTGTGCAGCAAAAATTTGCGCCTTCTTAAGATCTAAAAGTTATCTGAAGACACCTTTGCTGAGAAATTCGAAATAAGAAAAATAGAGCAAAAAACCTGTTTTTTTAAGAGCCACCCTAACTCAATTCAAGAAAATAGCTCTAAATCGGCCAATTTAAGAGATACAAAAAAGTTGTTTTGAACAAAGTTGCTTGAAATTAGCTCAGCTATAACTTTGCCGAAAAATGTATACCTTAATTTATTCAAACAAAAAAGTTAGAGTTTTGATTTAAATGATAATAGGAACCACCCTAGAATTCATTGTCATAAAAATGAGGGCCTAACTGTAAGGAACAACTTTGTAGAAAAGACTTTTAGTCTAAAGTTTCAATTTCAGGCTCAAAACATATCATTCCACCTAAATCTGCATTCTGTACCACTGTGCACTGGCCATAATTTGCCGTTATATATGGAAAAGTTGGCTATCTGTACTCTTGTGAAATTTTGCAGGTATATCTTTTCTGAAGACATTTTAATTGAACGTCAGGATAATTAGTTATTAATCAATTAGGAAGATGATATTCTTCTGACATGCTTCATCAACAGCTCAGCAGGCAACATTGGTGTACTTGGCGCGAAAAATAGGGCAAACACATACAGACTACTATGTCATAGTGCAAGATGTAGTGCTGGCCTGAAGGCAGTAGATTGATCATATCAGAAAGTTATTGATTTCGAAATCAGCTAATAACTAATTACGTTGAAGTGCAATCAAAAAGTGGTCTTGAGAAATGTTGTAGTTGATAAAATTTCAGAGCAAGCTTACCCATTATTCATTATGGAAAAAGGCTAGAACAATCAAAACAAAAAGTTCACTTTTCCCATGCATACTTCAAAGGGCCAGTACATTTGCGAGAATTACCAAGACCTGACGTAGAATGAATTGAGTGGGTTGGAGCAAAATCGACATTTTGAATGACCCATAATGTCGAGAACGCATTGTGGGTCACCAGTTTATGTTTTTTTTTTCAAAGCACCAATCACAATCAATGCAAGTTTGGAAACCACTTAATTAGTTGTAGGATTTAGGATCTACTGTTGTCATAACTTTGTGAAAGTTGTTTCATGTCTATTCCATCCCATAAAATGCGTTAAGATCAATACTGATAAGGAACACCTTAGTGATAAATCTCTCAGAAGGTGATGGCAAAGTTAAGAGACATTCGATGGAAGACTAACGATAGACGATCAGTGACCGCACTAATGGGGCACTTCTGTATTACTCTAACATTCATGCGCCAAACACCTTAATGCAATAAGGAAGAAGATCTTTGTTTTCTTTATATGATTAATGTTGCTCATCGATACAGGAGAAAAAACTAACTGTGACGGCTTGATTAATGCATTAATCAGGAAGGACAAAAAAAGTAGCTTCAACACCTTTCTGTATTACATCCTGAATGACACAAAAAGCCTTGCAAATAGGCATTCAAATCATTCACTTAAAGCAAGGGGTTGTTTATAATTACCGAATCGCTCGCATCGATAAAAACAATACCCTGCTGCAGTCCAGGTGCTGAATCAATCTAGGAGAAAGTTTGATTCACATCTGACATGTGCGTGTGCGCGCGCGCTCCCTGAACGGGTCATTTCATAATCAACACCAGCAATTATCATTGCTTTTTTTCCACCTAGGGAATCGTGGAAACCGTGTGCCCTTCATCCATTCATGAAAATGTAAGGGTCAGTCAGGTGCTGCCGTGCTGCAATGCTCACGTGCACTTCCATTTCGATGCACCGAAAATGCACCCAATTAACCAGACTGGTGCTGGTGCACTAATTGATCGCTCTTCTTATAGAATTGAACCTTTCCGAATCGAACAGATAAAATTCGGTAATTGTTCGTCCATCACCGGGCTCCGGGTTCAACCCCAAGTAGCGAATTCAAGTGTGGTAGCATGCTTTATGAGTGATGGGTAATTTTGCACATGTCCTCTTTCGATGTGTAAAGAACCACACGAGACAACCTGTGTTTTTTTTTTGCCAGGTTGTTTTAATGATATACCATGTTTACTCTCTTTTTGTTCCGTATTTCCGAGGGGACGGTGCACAGTGTAAGGATGAGTCACATGCGTGTCCGGGTGCCAATACTGTGGCAGCATTGAAAAAAAAAACAAAAACCTAACTCCACACCGTCAATACAATAAATAAAATGAAGACCAACGCAGGTGGAATTCAAGGTTCCTCTTAATGACGATGACGCTGACGCTTGGAGATGATCGTTGATATCCCCACCATATCGACAGATGGCGTTGTGGTTGCAATTATTGTAATTGTTGCTTCTTGCACATAGCATAAACATTGTCGCCACTTGTAGGTAATCCATTCCCAAGCGGCGATGCAGCAACAGATGTCGTCCGGCTATGTTAGAACGCGAGGGGCTTCACAGGTTACCAACGCAGGCAATCTCAAAATCCGCAATCTCAATCACTGCCATATCGCTACGCCACCATTGAACTGAGACTGCATTCAAAGACACCAACCTCACTGTACCGTTTCACTTCTATTCCAAGTAGGTTCCACTCTTCAAACGAGTTAGATCATTTCATTGCTTCTTTGTGCCCATAATTGCCTTCTACTTCTTCAGTGCCGAGTGCGAGATCAACACGATCACAAAACAAACGATCACGATCCCATTGGGGGTACACGTTCACGGCTTATTCCGTCTCACAAATCTCGCTTCCAAAATGAGAGGGAAAAAACGCTGAAAGCAGCACAAAAAACTCAAGACCACTCACGGACGCGACGCACGGATTTCGATCAAAATGCATCCAACCCGCTCGAGTACGAAATCAAGACTGATCCATCCATGGTGAGTTTGTTGCGCGCCCCCATACCAGAGTGCCGCTCACACACACCTTCCGCAGCACACAGGTGTGCAAACGGACTCGTGTTGGTGAGCGATCTTGCAGCACAGGTAAAACTCGTTTTTCCACTTTGGTCTGTTTCACCTTTTGCCATGTCGCGCAACTTGCTGACTGATTGTGCGGGGGGTGGTGAATTTCCATCCGACTGTCAGTGGTGAATTTCTCGACCCGAAGAAGGTTGACTCAGGTGTGCGATGTAGCAGCACTTTAATGTTTTTTCCCTCTATCTTAAGACATCTTCTTTCTCTTTCCCTTACTCACGGGTGAATCCATTGTGAGCTTATTGTACAATACGAAAACAGAAAAAAAGGAAAATATCACGGGAAAAAGAACACGCCAAGTAGAATGGTCGTCATGACCAAGAGGTATATCTACAAACGAAGGAAAGGTAGACGAGTAAGAGAAAAAAACACTTTTATGTTCTCGAGAAAAGTGCTGTTTGAATTTCAATTTTGCAGCAAAACAGACAAATAATGGAAACGTGGACGACGCGCAGAACCCAAGCGGCGGAGACTTCGATCCAAGAAGAGACGAACCTCGCAGTTTTTTTTTTGCTTTTGCGCTTACGGGAGTTGCATGCATAAATCATCCCGGAGGGAACTACGTTCGTTCCACAACCTATTATGATCCATTTCTGCGGCAGTTTCCGTTGATTGCAGCAGTACCTACGTACAGTGCTGCCCACAACAATTGGGGGCGATGCGAAGGTGGCGTTCACTTGAAGCACAAGAGTGCTATCAAACCAATTGGTCACCATTTCTGCGCCCACGCAAAGCGCACGGACTGACTGACGGCAAGTGTGTCCTACCTACGCTCCTAACCCTTAACAAATTCAACTCGGGCTGAGTTTACTGAATGACTGACTGCTAATGCAGCGAACAAAGTGATAAAAGTAAAAAAATACGGACATGTCTTCCTGCTCAAGGACATCGACAAAAAAGTTAATATGGCGTGCAGTAAAAGGAGCATTAACTGTCTGGGTGGGTTAGGACAGGAAACTGGCTTTGTTTGGTGCGTTTTGGGATGAGGATCGAGGAGAAAAGGCTAAACAAGAAAGGTTTGGCTCGAAATGTAATTTGTGTGGAAATTTCGTTCGTTATGGGAATATTGCTGGGTTTCCGTTGTGTGTGAAATTATGAGGTAATTATTACAAATGAGGGAGAAGTTCCTTGCTGTATTGAAATTACTATGGGTTTGTAAATTTAATTACTTTATAAAAAAAAGAATGGAAAGCTTCAAAACTATTGAATGTTTCAACATAATTAGTGAAACTTGGATGTTTTTCAAAAAATTAACCTTATTTTTTAGTTAGTTTCTACTGCAAGGAAATAAGAAGGGTATCCCTTACAGTCTGTTGTTAATACACTCCAACGATTACCACTAAAAATAAAAGTTCATATTTTCCACTGACCAATATCCGGTAGACTGAGGCAAAGTTTTAAATTTTCGCAAGACAGTGCTCAAACGGTTCCAAATTGGGCCCTGATTAGCCTCGCAAAATTTGAACTCATTTAGTGAGAAACTGACTTGGCACAAACCATTTGAAGTTTATATGGGAATTGCTATGAAGAAACCATAATTTTGGTTCTTATCGATCTCAAAATTCACCAGTTCACTCTACTTTAAAAAAATGATAGCCGAGCTGGTTGAAAATTCTCTCAGCTACAACTTTGTTCAAGACCAGTTTCCGAGCGAGATTGTGCGCGATGAAAAAAGAAGAGCTGCAGTATTTCTCGGTTACTTGGAAGTTTTGGTAATGGGCTGACCAATCAACCGCTTCTCCGTATCACTTCTCAACTCCATGGCACTATTGTATCCAGAGATGACAGCACAATATGTTTATAAACATTTAGGTAAAAAAAATCTGGCAAAGCATACTATGAAATATGGCCTATCAGCATACCTGCTTTTCTGCTCAAATCAAGGTTTATCGGTCATCTGAGTTTCGAAAGCCAATTTCTGTTTTCTGAAGCATCAAATCGACTTGCAGTTTGGAACAAAGTTGTTCATTATAGTTTTAAGTATAACATATTTTATTTTCATGCAAATCGGTTCGTTGGGAAAACAGTTAGAATGATTTTAGTGGGTCATCATTTTCTCCCATACTAATTTGACGAAAATCCCGAACAAGATTGAAATCGTTGGCGCGACCTCTTAACGTTGACCAGTTAAGCTGATTCTTTGCACAGATGTTTGTTTTCGTTTTATGAACTGAACTAGGGGGTGGCATATCAAAAATATCAATCTTTTTCCAGAATGAAACACCCTAGCGTAGGAGTGTCATTTTTTCAAGTATTCTATAGAAATTCCCCATACAAAATTCAAACCAAAAGCGCCAGCCAAATGTGCTTAAACTTTCAGAGAATGGTTTTTTCACCTAAAATTTGAACTTTTACTTTTGTTGGTCAGTCTACTATACATGCACTTCCACTTCATACAAATCTCGGAAATTAAAGTCCCATTTCACCTGAAATTGCTACTTCATGTATGCTGCAATACAGCAAACGTGAAGTAACAGTTTAATTGTGGCACGTGTCGGGGAAGCTGGTATTTGTGCACTTAAAGTTTTGAAGTGGCTACGATAAAAAGGATCTCACAGCGAAAAACCTCGAAAAGCCTTCCGGAGAAAGGAGTTCTGCGCGTTTTTGTAACTTTAGCAATTGGCATTGGCGAATAGAGGAGTCTTCTGGAAGAAACAGCTAATTTATTGTTTTCAGGCTTTCGTTTCTGTAGCACTTGTATTAAAACAAGAAATTAACTGAAGCTCATCAAGTATGCGTCAATCAAGTATTGCAGTACTGCTGGGTTGAAAGTTTCAATACGTTATCAGTGGTATTGTATTACACGGGGCTTACCGTGTGTGAAATAAGCTTCAGGATGCTTGCGTTCTTGAAATGGGCTACTGGATCTACGGTAGAGCTGTCACCCTGTCACCTTGTCACTCCCGGATTCAAGCACATATACGACACATACACACATACACACATACCTTTTCTAAAAAGTCTTCCGAAGTGAACAATCTCAGAATCAGTTCTTGTCATTATGTCTTATAGATTCAGTTAATCTATATATAAAAATGTATTTCTGTCTGTCTGTCTGACCCTTGTAGACTCGGAAAATACTGAATCTTTCAGCGTGAAAATTTGTATGCAGGTGTTTTTGGGGCAGGGAAAGGTTCTTATGATGGTTCTTCCCTCAAGCAAATGGAACCAAATTTGACATGTGGAGGTCATAGGGGCAGCCCTTAGATTGCGGGGGGGGAGGGCTACGTAAAATATAGTCGGGTCAGAAATCCAATATTTAATGGAAAATACATTAAACTACCTAGTACTTAGGGTCTTTTTTCACCCGGCATCACTTTAAAAAAGCTGTAACTTTGTAACGAAATATGATAGAGACCTGAAATTTTATGACTTTTCCTAACATTTGGAAACGAACAATTTGCTGACAAGTGAAGCTTTCAGCGACCTTGAGGAGTGGCACTATAAAAAAAAGTGAAATCCCTTCCTAGGATTTCTAGGAACCTTCATATTTCATGTGAAGCCAATTGGGTTCTTTAATTTTGAAAAATGTATCCGTTTTTATACATCATCAGATCTTTCACTTCGTTTTCTGAGCACAGCGACATTTTTTACGAACCCACACACTTTCATCTTGATTTTTAAAAACAAAATAATAACTTCACTGTTTGACACTGAACTAACAAATTGACAGTTCACTCCTATATAAAGTGACAAAAAAGGGCGCTAATAAGGTGATTTTTGCAAATGTAATCGTACTTATTTAAAATTGTTCCAGTGTACCAAAATTGATGAAATTTTGAGTTTAGGTTCAACTTTTAATGTATATTACGAATATGCATTTACCTCAATACCAAAGAACCCAATATTTAGATAAAGAAACGGATCAACAATTGATTTTTGGGAGCGAGTTGCAATTTGGGTCTTTTTTGTCCCGCTAATGCACAATGTGTAACTTAAACTTAAACATATTTCATTCCCTTCCAACTTTCGACGTCACACAAACTAAAATATGTTGTCCATTTGAAGATCGGCACATCACTCAAAGTTCACCGCGTTTTCGAAAACAAACGCTCCCAAGGGACCAAGATTGAAATATTTGACAGAAGTTTTAGCACCGACAAATCGACATGACACTTAATTCTGACTTAGGTCCGAAAATCGTACACGGCTGATTTAAAGGTGCAGTGATCCGAACTGTCAAGACCATAGGATTGTTTGATCTAGATAAAAATAATTTGTCCAAAATAGATCAGAAACGAACCAATTCATAACTTTTGCATGCGAAATCATGGCTTAGCTAAATATTTCCCGCGAACACGAAGCCAGATGTCAGTAGTCTGTTTGGTCAGAAATTTTATACTTTTTTTTTTTGCTATGGTCATTCATGTCGGTTTGTCGGTGGTTTTAGAGCCACCTGGAACAAACATGGAAAAATACTCTTACTTGTCCTAAGTAAGTTAAGTACCGAAAAATAGCACATGTCATAAGCTCTATACCACTTCTCACTTACCTACATATCGATTTCCTTCCGTATAAAATGAGCCGTCCACTTGGTTATCCTTCGGTTATGATTGCGTTGAATAATTCCCTCGTAATAACTCCATATCAAATTAGCGGTAGAGATCTTTCTCATTGGCTAATTCTTTGCTACCAGACCCTTCAACCACAGACAAACAGACGTAACTCTTTGAAAAAGTTTTTCTTGAAGACATAGTATCTCAAAACATAGGACCTCAGTAACGACATCTCTTGGGCTTCTCGCGGAAAACAAGCTTGCTTGTTAACTCGCAAAAAATATTGCATAAAAGTTCTAAAGAATGTATAGAAACGTCAAAGTGATCCGATGCCAGCGCTGCGGCGAGTAGTTCGTGGAACTGATAATATTCAAATCAACCGTTAAA